AAAATCACCTGGCCTTAATAATTGACTTGGCACTGGCATAAAGACTTCACCCTCAATATAGCAGTTCCTCCCTATAGGGTCATTGCATTTTCCAGCTTTTTATTTGTCTGCAAATCCTCCAAAACTTGCAATGAAGCTGAGCTGTAAATTAACAAAATGTAATGATGTCTCTGAACCTGGTCTAGCAAATTTTGAATGTTTTAATTTTCAGACACTACTCATTTTGAAGAAATTTCAGACAAGAATTTCAGACAATTAAGTAAACTTACACAAACGATACTGCATTAAGGGGTTCAGATCTGCTGACAAGGAAAGAACATTGTATCAAGCTAATGCGTGTCTCGAGCAGTGTCTCACCATAAAAGAAACCAAGTGTTTGGAGCCAGAAGCATATCACCTCGTGGTGATATGCTTCTGTTTGGAGCTATTTAACTTTTTACACTGTAATGTAAATATCGCCTGCTTTAAATTTAAACAGGTTTTGGTCACTTGTCCAAAATTAGTAAATGGCTGAAATTGTTATATATCTTTTTTTCACCAGCAAGAAATCACTTGTAACCCCTGCAGGCATAACTGAGGGAAATTGGGCCTTGGTAGCCTTGGTAGTGTGAAGTCAAAGTGGCTGGTTGGCCAATTCCTTGCATGGCTGAAGTCCGTAAAATGTCAAAATCCATCATCACTTAAAAGTGAGAGCGATGCCGATATCCAGTCATGTTGACTGTACAAGCTTGGTTGTTATTATACACTGTGGTAAGGATANAAAAACTTGAACAACTAAAATGTTCTGGTCAGTGTCCAAACCAATGCCTTATATCATATAACATTATATGAAACAAAATTAATATTTTCATACCATAAAGAATTATGCATCACAATTTAAAATCCTTGGAGGAACAGAATTCCACCAGCTCACATTTTATACTGTGGTGCATTGTTTGTAGTATAGGTAAAATTCACCTGGTGTGAAATGCATGGAGGATGAAAGTGGGTTTTTTCACAAAACAAGAGACGGTGAACACTTTAAATTGAAATTTTATTGTTAGCAAAACTTATCTATCTTTAAGTTACCAAAAATTAATGTAATTTCTGACTAAATTACATAACTGCACATCATACTTCAGACGGTAAGTGTCTTGAGACGCACTATAACAGCATAGCAAAGTGCTCTTTTACAGTAGTCTGCTCATTTTGTGAAGAGCTCTCCAATTAGATTACAATATTCTATCCTAAATAGTGCTCACAAAAGCCACTAACATAGAACAAAAACAAAGCATTCTTACTAGGCCAAGTTGAAATGTTAGTTCTATTGCCAATGTTTTAAACTCAGGACTGATTGTTAGGTTCTAAGGCTAGTGCTACAAACTTTGAATCAAAAGCTCCACAGTGTGAGCACTGACCAAGGTTAATGTCTTGTGGTTTCTGGTGCTTTAGTTCTAATCCTAGGGATTGGAAGAGCCTGAGCACTTACCACTGTCATTCCTTCACTACACTTTCCAAAGTGTGAAGTGAGTAAGGTCTAATTTTCTAAATGGGATATATCAGGCCATCACACTACATTGGCCTTTTTGACAGGTTATCACAATATCTGCTCTTCCCTTCTCAGGGTATGGGTGGATAGACTGAAGCAGTGATAGAGTAGATCACAGTAACAACAAGTGATCCAAAGTTGGAATGCCTTGCTCATTTATCTTTAGTTGGTCAAGCCCACCACAAGTTTAGTAGTTTCAATTTGAACAGAAACTGAGATAACTGTACATGGCATCAATAAATTAAAAAATAAGATCCTTCAATGGATAATGGATAAATTTAAAAAAAAAAAGATTCTTCAATGGATTACAAGTTCTGTGAATATCCATTCATGGAAAACTCCAAGTCACATATTACCACAGAAATCGGAATGAAGCTGGCTCCACCAATTCCTGGGATACTTAACCACTTCACTTAGGCCCAGTAGTGAGAATAACTACCAATATGAAAAATACCTACAGCGGAATCCCTATTTCTCGAACCCTCGATTTTTCCAACATCCTGATAACTCGAACTAAAAGCTGCCTCCC